GTGGACGGGGTTTGCTGCGTCTCAATGCGGGAGGTGATTTGGAGATTAACCGCGGAGTGTTCCCTCTGTGGTGGAAGAGACCTGTTCAGGACTGATTAAAAGCTGCAGAAAGATAAAAGTGAAATATTGGTCAGTTGGTAAAAATGAGATATCCTCTTCGTAATGCAATCCAATCGACCGTCCGTCTCATTTTTTTAAAAAAATGCATTATATGATATAATCTGGCGTAAGTGCAAACAAAGGAATCTGAGCCGGTAAAGAAAATATATAACGCCACTAGGAATTGTGGAATAAAGACATTACATGGGAAGTGGGATAAACCTCGGTCTAAGTCATAAGAAATTCCCACAAGAAATCCCAGAAGAGCCAAATTCGTTTACACTTTGTTTCAAGTCTGTGTTTTCTTTTTATGGATCTCTCTGAGGTAACCCCACTCTCAGTTAGGACACATCCAATTTTATTCTGCTCACAAGCGGGTTGTTCCGTTGAAATAATATTTTCGTTCTGGGTCTGATAATTCACAGCGGAATTTGTTCCGGATCAGGATCCTTAATGAACGGTGCAGATTTTATTTGGCTGATAATCACGAGTCATTAAAACGGAGGTCAACATTCAAAGATAAGCATGTACAGCTTTGGCATGGAAGTCCTGAGGTATTTTGATGTTAAACCCTAAACACACAGACACACAGACACACACACACACACACACACACAAACAAACACACTCACACACAGAGACACACACACACACACACTGACACACACACATACTCAGACACACACACACATACATAGACACCTCTACTCAGACAAAGGACTGCTATAGTCTGTGATCAGATCTCCACCACCACCCCACCCCCCCCCCCCCCCCGTGCTGCTAACAGAGATGTGAGAAACCGCGTTGGAAAATACACCCATCCCTGCCTCCAAATGAAGATAACTGCTCAATCTTGAAGTCCATTGGTTCACAATGTGGTCTGTTAAAAAAGAAGAGGCCTTTCCCCCAGCAGGCTACAAACTGGCACCGCATTCAAGCACTCCCAGTTGGTGTCCATTCAATAAAGGTCAGAGTTTGCTGTATTTTAAAAATAAAGTCCTCCTTTATATTCCCAGTGTGCACTGTAGACTGCTGGCAAGGTCGAAATAGGCGTCGTTTCCTTTCGAAACAGTCTCCCCAAGTTTTAACGGGGATTAGTAGAAATTGCCGCCTCTGTGGAGGAAAGAATTGAACAAAGATCTAAACAGACGGGGTCACTTCCCGGATGTAAAACCCGGGGAGCACCGCAGTTTGGACATATTTTCCGGCTCTTCCCCAGCGCCGGGAGGTGAGGTGCTACAAACCGAAGCAGATCCTACAGCTTGGAGTTTTAGGAGTGGGGAGGAGGGGAGAGGGGGGTTTAATTGAATTGAAGCGAGTTGATTAAAAAGGGATTGACGGCGCCGCGATCTGGCACGCAATGAGCTCTCTGTTTAAAAACCATCAAAATATTTACTTTCCAAAAGCTAATCTTTCACTGACAGATCAGTCACATCTTTATTTGGTGGAGGTCTGGGCTCAAAGAGAGATAGAGGGGGAGATGGAAAGAGAGAGAAAGGGTGGTGTGGTTCAACAAGAGTAAGGCACATTATAAGCACAGAGGGTCTGACACAATCTTTACTTTTCAAGCGGACCCTGTGATTTGTACAGAAATCTACTCACCGTTTATACTTTTAGCTGGGAATTGACTGATTCCCCTATTCTGCGGTTCACGGTTGAACGTTACACATGAATCAGATTGTGCGAGTTTCAGGGAGAGTTAAGGATTTGTAAATCACTTGGAACATTACTCTAGCTAGAACAGCTCGGTAACGAGAGAGAAAAATCCAGAGTAAATGTAGTTGCAGTAGCTTGGTGTATCATACACTCAGGTACGAGAAAAAACGGGAGTGAAATTTTCGTTACAGGAACGTCAGTAAATATATTCACGCAAACACTTGTTTTACAAAACATGGACCACATCCCAGAATGGGACTCATTTCGCAAGTGAACTGCCGTATTTTGCTCAGTTTGATCTGAAATGATCTTATTTGGACCAAATGAGACTTTCATTTAGCAGTGGCCCCTCCATATACCGGTGACATTTTAATACAGAGAATCGACAGCCGCTGAAGAAGGGTCACGGAAATGAAATGTTAACTCTGTTCCTCTTTCCACAGATACTGCCAGACCTGCCGAGTTTCTCCAGCACTGTCTGTTTTTGCACAGTGTTCAACACAACAAGACGAAAACATTACCCCCCAAAATGCTGTATCTTGAAGGGAAAAACAAATAAACTAACTAACCCACTTGCCTGCTCGAAGATAAATTGTGTGAACCGGCCACAAACAGGAACTCACCTACCTCACATATCACCGACCCCTTCCCCCCACCCCCCACCCCAAATCCCGGGTTTTAATTAATAGAACCCAAGATCCTAATGTTAAAAGCGAGAAAATGTCACTGGAACAAAAACAAGTTGCTGGAGAAACTCAGCAGGTCTGGCAGCATCTTTGGAGAGAGAAACGTGTTAAAATTTTAAGTCCAGTGACTCTTCTCCAGAAAATGTAAACGTGCTTTCTTCCTATAATCATTCTGACAAGTCTGGGTGTAACGCGGAAAGTGAAGAGAGTGTGCAGATGGAGCCCGGGCTCTGTTGGCACTCTTCTTCAAATCTGACTCACTTCGATGCTGTCAGACTAGAATGAAATAAACAGTAATCCCCTCTCTCCTTTACGATGCCGTTGGATTATCGAAATTAAAATGCATGCGCGCTTTATGATTATGAAAAACCCAACTCGATAAAGTATCCTCTCAGCTGGGAGTTATTTTCCAATAAGATTAGTTTTGCAATGACCATCCCCGAGGCATATACACTTACCGTTTTTGTTCAAACTCTAGGTTTATATTTGTAAAACAAGCTTATTAAACGCCGCTTCGTCCTCAGTATTTGCATCGTCCTGGGCTAAACAGATAACACCAATAAGCGCACAGCAATGACCCCGTCCTTAGATTCTCTATGATAAAGTCTATTGTCCACAGACTACAAATTTTAATCACAAATGATCATAGGTTGTATTGATCGTTTTACTGCTAATTAATAAAGAAAACACAAAATAAGTGAGTGCAATTCTCTTGCGCTTTAGTGCAACATGTGAACGGTCCAGTCTATTAGAAGGAGCGCAGTGCCTAGATTGCGAATTTTCAAAACAATGCAGAGATCTGGTTATTTGTTTGATGGGCGTTACACACGTTTTAACCTTCCGCATGATTGAAAAGCATTTGCGGCAGGACCTCTGGGACTTTGGAATGTGAGTACTTTAAATCGAGTTAAAATAACGTTCAGTTTATGAACAAATGCCAGAAGCGCTCCCCAGAGTGAGTTTACAGTCATAGAGACAGTAGCAAATATTGAACAAGAAGATATTGTGACTGCTTTTGTAAATAGCCGCTATCTAGGGAAACTGGCATTTAGGAATATTTCGCAAAATTTCCCTCCAGCCGCACGAACATCAAATATTATGACTGTACACCATGAATATTGACTTGCCCGCTGTTTAAAGAAAATGCTAATTTCCATTGATGATACAGGAAGGATTTAACCTGTTTCATTTAGCATTTTCACCCCAAGTGTAGAATTATTTTTACAATGGGGAGTAAAGACCAAGAAATTATTGTATTGCAATAATGAAAGGAGCTCAAACATCGACAGGCAACGGCCCCAGCAGAGCAGCGGTTACTGAAATTTGTAGATAGGCACGCGAAAAGTTGACGTTTAAAAGTGTAAAGCTAGAAATTGCTGCAATTCTCACCTGTAGATGCTGGCGCCGAGGACTTTCACATCATAAATTCTTTTCAAGCTAATATCCACTGGGAGATTTGATGATACTTTTGCTGATACGACGTGACAATCTGATGCCATAAAAAAAGCCACCTGCGTATCCAGGTTTAAACTTTAACTGAAAGTAGAGGCCAGATTGAGCGGGCAGCGGGGACAGTCTCTGAGAAAGGTGCACAATGTTGTGGCCGTCCACATTCTCTGCAAAACGCTTTTATTCCCCCCACCCCCACCAAAGTTTAGGTTTCTCCCTCTATAAATTATCCGTAACCGCCCGTGCAAAAGCATCCGAAACTGCACAGAACCCAAATAACGGTCGTGGAGAGAAATATCTGATTATTTGTGTGGCCCGGTTTCTTCACGGTCGAAATTCAGTTTGCACTACTACGGATCGATTTTAGAATACAGGTTCGTGAAGGTCCAAAACTAAAAACCGAAGGGCTTGAAATAAAAAAAAATCAACTCTCCCGGGATGTTTATTTATTCCTTTTTGTTTATATTAGAAAAATTCGTTTGATTTATCAGGAGATAAACCGAAATGGCCTCGTCCTTGAACTCTCCTAAAGAGAGATATCTATGAATTAGAGATAGTAGGAACTGCAGAATTAGATGCGGTTTTTACAAACAGGAATATTACATCCATCCGTTCATTGGAAGTAGACGTTTTCTAGTTGTTAGTTTCCGCAGTTATTTCATGAAACAGTGAAAATAGGATAAAAAAAATCTCCCCTCCATTGTGATGAGTTACAGTGATGCCTGTATGTTGCAGTGAAAGGTGTATTCAATAAAAAAAAACAGGTCATCACTTTGCTCAAGTTACTCAAAGTAAAAGGACCACCGGAAGTGGAGTGAGCCAGTCTAAAGGGCGAAGCGCACTGATGCAAAATGTACTGGGTGCCTATGAGAATAAAAATAGTTCATAAAATCTAAGGAGGGCTGAGCATATTTTGTTTCGGCCCCTCTTCCTGGAGTTAATTTTTCCCAAGTTCGGGGGTGGGGGGAGGAGGGCTGGGAGTATTATTGGGTGCCCTGGTTTATTCAAGGTTTTCTGACATGCGTGGTATTTTTTTCACTCCCCCCCCACCCACCTTCCCTCTCCCAGGAAGCTCAGAGTTTCTGACAGTCATACCGCGTCAGTTTTACAGTTTGCATCACTAACGGGGCCCGCCTTAACACTCCTCACAATAAGGAGGGGTCTGAGGGTTCATCTCTTGCTCATTTATAACTGCCCCCGAAGCTAAGCCTTTAATAAACACGAGTTAGAGGAAAGGCGGCGAGCAGGGGGGTCCTCATACCTGCCCTTGTCAGCCTGTCTGAGCCAGGGATTTACTTGCAACTAAACGGATGCCTTCTGTGGGGTCCCGAGATTGGGAGAGGCTTTCCTGACTTGGGGAAGCGATAGAGCACAAGACACTTTTTTTTCCAGGAAAAGGTTTAAGGCAAAGTTTTAAGCCAAATTGAGCGCCCGTCTGTATTGGGCAGGAGAGAAACACCAAATTTTGAGATTTATCTGTCTGGTGTTGTGGCTTGCAAAAATGTCATCTAGCGTTCAGACATTCCGCGCCCATAAAGGACAATTCGCCGATCAACTGGTCAACAACCGGAAAAGCCAATGTGCAGGTAGGAGAGGAACGGATTCCTGTAGATGACCAGTGATCCAATCGGTTCGGGGGAGCCGGGGGGGAAGAGTTTGTTGACAAAGAAAGGCCGCATTCCCCTCTGTCCCTGAATCTATCATTAACTGTTCATCAAAGAAGAGAGTCAGTGGGGGGAGGGGTGTGTGGGGGAGGCTATCAAGGTGAAAATAATTCGCATAGTTTGTCCTTTATTAATCTCCTGCAGTCCGGGCATTCCAAACAGGGCCTTTACAATAACACGACCTTTTAAAATGACAGAATATTCTTGATCTAGTTATACTGCAATCTTAGTAAAGATTACTGCAAAGGTTAGACCTGCGCTAATAGAAATTAATATTTACTTTAGAACGGTTCTTCTCCCCCGCCCCCCTCTTCTGGTGTCCTTTCGGCCCATCTTGGTGACTGACTGCAATTTTAACTGTCCTGACGCTTTCCGAACCAAATGGTTTATTTCAAACCCTCAAAAGAATAATAACAGCGAGTAGCGATTTGTAGCTCACACAAACACATTAAAAATATAAAATTACTTAGGATGACGTACCTTCTCTTCGTTAATACCGGGAGAACCTTACTGCCGATAGAGCTGTGGTGCTGTTAGTTAGAACACAGGCAGCTCCATTTATTAATTAAACACTGATCCGCCAAATAAACAGACGGATTTCTGCAAGTGTCGGCGATTGTTTTGTTTGTTAAGGGCCAGGGTTCAGGATTAACTCAGAGCATCCCGCTTCCTGCTGCAGATAATGAGAAAACCCAGCAAAATCAAACAGATGAATTGGATTCCAAGGACCCCTCCATTAAGAAAAAGCAGAGGCGCCAAAGAACACACTTCACAAGCCAACAACTGCAGGAGCTGGAGGCAACTTTTCAAAGAAACCGATACCCGGACATGTCGACCAGGGAGGAGATAGCTGTCTGGACGCACTTAACCGAAGCACGAGTAAGGGTAAGGCTGTCATGGAATCAGTTATCAATTTTTAGATTCTGAATTGAAGCACTGAGTCCCACTCAAGCCACGTGAGCGTGTTTTGATGGATTCCTGAATGATCTAGAGAAATTGTACAAGGTAAAGGATATAGCAAATTCCTTCAACGTACACGATCCCCAAGACATAGCTGATCCCTAAGACATGCTCTATCCCCAGGACAACCAGTCAAGTCGCCATAGTCTTACCAGACCATAGGGCTGTTTTCTCTTTGGAGAGAGAGACGACTGGTGGTGGTTTAACCTGAGGGTCACCACGCCTCGGATGAGAGGAGGGGTTGAGAAAGACAGTCCTTCATGGTAACTTCAGCCGGTGTGGGGATTGAACCCGCGTCGTTGGCGTCACGCTGCTTCGCAACCCACCCGTCCTGATCCCAAAGGCATCACTGATCCCTAAGACATCACTGATCCCTAAGGCATAACTCACCCCCAAGGTGTCACCGATCCTTAAGACATTTCTCATCCCCAATACATAGCCGACCCTTTAATCCTAACACATATCTGTGACATACCCGATCCTCAGCACATACCTGATCTCTAAGAAACACCGGATCCCGAATATTCCAAAGAATCAAATCATTTTCCTGTTTTCGTGGCTGGCGGGTAGTTTGGGTTGGTCCAGCGTGTCACAGAGGGACAGGTTTCTAATCAAACCACAGAACCCTCATTGCCTGCCCAATTATTGATTGTTTCCCCAGGCCGGACCCTGAATATAGTAATGGTAATACCCTTCATGCCCCGAATATATTTTATGTCATGTGATTGATTCAGACCCATGTTGGAGTCTGAGTAATTACAACTGATAGATCACATTCCGGCCTCACCATCTGATATTTGCCAACACTCTCTATATATCTCGACCCAAGCCCTGACAGTTATTGGCCATCTCACTAAAGGAGCAGTGCCCAGGTAATGTAGGAAATCCCGAGTGAGAGTGTACAACGAGGGAGTCCTGTAAGATCTTCAGGAAATGCATGTTTCTGGGTCATTTAGCTACCGAGCCCAAGCTGTTTCCTGCACTTCGACATGTTGTTAGTGATTAACGGTGGGGTTTTGTTATTAAACCTTGCATTATAAATGAGATAACAGGTTTAGACAGCAGCTTTAATAATGTTATGGTCTCTCTCGAATGATTACAAAATAGAAACCAGACGCTATAACTATCTAATACCTATTCCGATTTGTTTGTCCCTTGGAGCAAGCCCTGGATATAACTCAAGCTGGGAGTGACACTGGTCGGATATGGACTCATAGCCATAATGTAATTTTGACAACCTACTCATAGGGGACGATTCACGTAGATTTTTTTTCTCCAGATGGAATAACATTTTCTAAAAATAAAGTTGTTGTGATCTGGAACGTGCTGACTCAAAGCGCTGCGAAAGGAGATTCAACAGAAGCTTTCAAAGGAGAATTGGACAAATATTGGAAAAGGGAGAGTACATCCCAGTTCCACAGGGAAAGAGGAAAAAGACAGGCCATGGAAACGTCGAAACATAGAAAATAGGAGCGGGAGTAGGCCATTCGGCTCTTCGAGCCTTCTCCATCATTCAATATGATCATGGCTGATTATCTAACTCGGTACCCTGTTCCGCCTTTCTCCACATCCCTTTTGATCGCTTTACCCCACAAGAACTATATCTAACTCCTTCTTGAAAACATTCAATGTTTTGTGAAGCGCTTTCTGTGGCAGAGAATTCCATAGGCTCACCACTCACGGTGAAGAAATTTCTATTCATCTCAGTCCTAAATGGCCTACCCTGTATCTGTAGATTGTGACCACCTGGTTCTTGATCCCTGGTCATGGGGAACATCCTCCTGCATTTACCCTGTCCAGCCCTGTTACAATTTTACCGGTTTCTATGCGACCTCCAACCCTATGATTCTTTCTAAACCCCAGTGAATATAGTCTGAATTGGAGCGAGCCCATACCTGTGCCGTTATTGATGTTTATGTTGCAGTTTATTCTTGGATTCAATTTGGTTTTGAAATAGCTGCTGTCCTGTCCATCTTGTCACCACAATGATGACCAACAAATTATCATTTTATGTCGAGGCTAAAACCATGTGAGGCCGAGGTTGTCTGTCACAGAAACAAAAAAAAATTGCTGGAAAAACTCAGCAGGTCTGGCAGTACCTGCGGAGACAGAAACAGTTTAACTTTTCGAGTCCAGTGACTCTTCCCCAGAGCTTCGCCAGCAATTTCTGTTTTTTGTTCAGATCTCTTGCATCTGTCTGTTACAGAAACGGAAAGGGTGTTAGTCAAACAGAATCTGAACGTCGATTTTAGCCAATGACCGCGGGCCAGGCCAGCGTTAATGAAATGTTTCCTGTCTGATCCAGGTGTGGTTTAAAAATCGCAGGGCCAAGTGGAGGAAAAGGGAGCGCAACCAACAGGCCGAGCTGTGCAAGAATGGGTTTGGCGTCCAGTTCAACGGAGTCATGCAACCCTACGATGACATGTATTCCGGCTACTCCTACAACAACTGGGCTACCAAGAGTTTGACCAGCAGCCCCCTGTCGGCCAAGAGCTTCCAATTCTTCAACTCCATGAACGTCGGGCCCCTATCCACGCAGCCCATGTTCTCTCCCCCCAGCTCGATCTCATCTATGACCATGCCGGCCTCCATGGTTCCTTCTGCGGTGCCCGGGAGCAGCCTGAATAATTTAAACAGCTTGAACAACCTTAACAACCCCAGCCTCAACTCGGCCATGACCGCCGGCGCCTGTCCTTATGCATCTTCTGCCAGCCCCTACTCGTACCGAGATACCTGCAACTCAAGCCTCGCCAGCTTGAGGCTCAAGGCAAAACAGCACACCAATTTCGGCTACCCGGGAGTCCAGAACCAGGTGTCCAACCTAAGTCCGTGTCAATATGCTGTGGACAGACCTGTATGAGCCTAATGGTTGTTGTTAACATTCGGTTTCACCCTAAATATATGACCTTTGACCCCTCAATGTACATCACCAGTCCCTTGACAGCGCTGGCTGAAACAGTGCCTGTCCTACTGCGAAGACAACTTCCCATTTCACGTTGGACAGGTTTTAGAGAGCTTTCATGAAAGTGTTATACTCGTAACTATTGCAGACAAAAAAAATGTTAATGATATACAATCCAAAATATGCATGACCATTACAATCCGCCTTCTAGATTGTAATGCGGGGTCTGCTGTATATATAATGAACTTTTTTGTTTTCCTTTTGTATGTGAAATAATTATAGTGTTTTTAAAGGTTAAAAGAAAGCATGTCCTCTAACTGCATACCTATGGTCACTTGACTTGCGCCTTGGTTAATAGATTAGGAATAGAAAGACTGATCTGTTGTGAATGACTCACTGTTGTATATCCTCACACAGTCACTCTCATGTAGTCCTGCACCGCCTCTATACTGCTCACAAAACGACCTTTTATGCATTTTTTTCATTCAGCGGCTCATCAGCGTTTGACCACAAGTCCACATCCCTTTCAACACATCCCCACTTTGTAATCTGAGAATTGCTGCAGGTTAATGGGCTCGTTTTTCTGTGGGTCTTTCCTTAATTTGTCGAGTTATGAATATTTGTAACGGTTTGGCTTGATGCTGGTAGCTCTAGCATTTCTCATTTAATCTACTGTGCGCATCAATCTCCAAAAAGGCCAAAGTTTACAGACAAGATAGCTTGATTTGCACACTGGCTAATGCTTAATAAACAGATTCTACAATGTGCGTCTACGATATCTTATTATTGAGAGGCCGTACCACCGCCTAGAGAGTGTGCATTTTTTTTGAGAAACGTCCAAATGGTTATATGGAAATCACCCATTCACTGAGTTAAGACACAATCGCCCTGGTTGCTGTGGATCATGACAGCGGCTGCATTATCTGTCAAGCGCGACTTGAGGGAGAAAATGCGACCCGACTTAAAACCCTTGCAAAGAAACTTTTTAGCTGCCACAGTCTCCAGATCATTTATAAAACCCAATTCAGATTGCCTTTACTTAGGGTTTGCAACCAACTAAAGTATTGTCCAATAGTGAAGGTTTACTGTCCGAAACTCTGCTCTGTTGTCCTCACTGAGGATAAAAAAAAGTCGACAAAGACTACATCTGTAAATATTTCCCACAACCCCGCGCTTATAGGTGTCAAAAGCAAATTGCAAAGTAATCTGTGAGATGCATTACTTCAATGTTGTACAATTTCTGACTGTCCGCAGCAAATTGGACAGACTCAAAGAGACTTGTCGGGAATTATACCAGGGGTTATGTTTTTTTTCCAATTTGCTAAAGACTATTATGATACAACATAAAGAATTGCAAGCAGACATCTTCCGAGTATGAAACGATGATATATTTATATCAGTACATTAGCACTGCGGGCTGTCATTGGCACCAGAAAATCTGGGCTTCGTTAAAACATTTATAAACAGAAAAAAATAAAGATTAATAAGTACTAAAGTCTGAACCTATTTATCCAAACATGGAAGTACATTTGTGTTGAATTTTGACCGAAGCATTGTTTTCTAAATTGTTATAACAAATCATGTTAATTTGGATATGTACTTAAAGGTGGATTTTCAATACTTAGTTGTAATTTTGCATGAACTGGCATTCATTTTACCTGTTCCATATTTATTCTGTCACCTGAGCCATTCTGAATCGAATGCACATTTCGCTAGATTTTCAAGGTATCATTGGACTTAATCTTAGGAAGACAGGCTGCGAGGACAGCGGTGGTTTTTCACCTCTGCTGTGGGCTGCTCTCTCTTTAGAGAGGGAGATGACTGGCGGTGCTCACTACGCCTTAGGTGAGGGCAGAGGTTGACAAGGACAATCCTTCATGGTAACCTCAGCTTGTACAGAAATCAAACAAATGTTGTTGGCATCAGTTTGTATTGCAAACTGACCACCCAGCCAACTGAGCTCAATTACCCCCTCATCGCCTCTGCTACTCTCACTTAAACACGGCCTCTCACACACAACCAGCATGAATATAAAAATGAGGAGGAACAAATACCTCTAAGTGGTCAGAGTGAGTCACCTCAACACAGAATCGGATAGGGACTTGTATTTACATAACGCCCACCCTGTAAAACATCCCTCAATATTTCCCCTCCAATTTGTTACGACTGCGATGCAAATGGACCCGATGTAAGATGGTGGACCCCGTTTAGGCATTCTGTGCACAGCAGGATCCCACCGACGGCAATGAGATGAATTTGAGTTCGGAGGAAGGGTCATCGGACCCGAAACGTTAACTCTGTTATTTTCTTCACAGATGCTGCCAGACCTGCTGAGTTTTTCCAGCAACTTCTGCTTTTGTTCCTGATTTACAGCATCCGCAGTTCTTTCGGTTTTTATTGAGATGAATCATCTGTTGGCGGTGTAGGCAGGACACTCAGAAAGCACCCTTTCATTTTCCTCTCTCGAAACAGTCCCTCTGGATCCTTAATATTCACCTGGCCCAACAATCACCCCTCCCACCCTGCCTGATACTACAATGCCATATCTCTCTAGCTCACCGCCTACTGCCTTTTGAGTTGTTTAGAAACCTCCTACTCGCAATTCGTGACCCCCACCACCCCCCCGGCCCAAAACCCTTCATTCGGTTCCTACCCTATCATTACTCAGGAGCGAGTATTGCCATTTATTTTCTCTAAAGCTCAAAAGTATGTTTACAGGGAACCAATCCCATGGCGTGTTACATTTCTCTCCCGCCCCCATATCTATTAATTCTCAGAATTCCCTGTATCATTTAGAAGCGGTAACCTCTGCGAAGTCAAATTTTTTTCCTTGGTTCTCAGCGTTTTGATGAGTTGCGGGAAGTGGGAAATGACATGTTTTTTTTTCCTGAGAATGCCTAATTTAACACGGCACCACAATCCTTATTGACTTAAGGCTGGCTCCAGTCTTGATTGGGAGCTCATTGCTGTACTGAAAGGTCATGGAGCCTCAGTTGTACTGTACAGTGAACGCCAGCACCGGCTCTGTACAGAAGGCTCGCAGCAGCTTGTACAACTACTGCGTTGTTCAGGTTACTCGGTTTCCTGGCTCCAACTCTCCGGGAAATTTGCAACGTTGGAAAGCCGAACAGAGTTTCACTTTGCCTTCAATTTTGAACGACATCGCAGCAATTCTGTTGCTGAGTAGCAGCATGTACGGATTGAAAACCGCTTCTCTCGGCTGTTTGTTCTCCTTTTTCCACAGCAGGGAAATCCCCAACTTGTTTTGAATTGGGTGAAATGACAGTGGGAATCCGCTGTCCCCTTTGCAGCAGGGCGATGGCTTTGGACTGGGATGTGTGTGTGTGTAGATAGTGGTTGAAGTCGATCAGAAAATTAGGATTCAAACAGAGAGCGCTAAGCAGCTCTCACAGCAACTGCGCAGACAAAAACAAATTGCGTTGTTTCAACTCGAACCCAGACCCCGAAACGTAAACTCCTGTTTTTTATCTTTTCCTTGCCTTTTCATTTCTGTTTTCATTTCACACTTTCAACATCCGCAAGACATTTGTGCCTCTTGGATCTTTATAAAGTTTTCTGTTTTTTATGGGGGTGGATGTAACGATTCACTGGCGGGTTTCTCACAATGGATCCGGAGATGCAAAGGGAGAGTTTAGAGGGATTTGGGCCAAATTCTGGCGAATGAGACTAGATTTATTTAGGATGTCTGGTCGGCATGGACGAGTTGGGCCGAAGAGTCTGTTTCTGTGCTGTACGGTCTATGACTTAAGTTGAAATTTGAAAGTGGTCCCGCAGACTGCGGAAGCAATTTTGCTGAAGGTCACACATCCAGAACATTGGCTTGTCTTTTCATGTTATGCAACATTTTAAATGTTTGTTCCCGCCGACTGCCTTCTGGTTAAATATTTTGTAATCAATCTGCTCAGGGATATAATTTACACACTTCTGGTCCAGAGGTAGGGACACTCCACTGTTACCTTCTACTTATTTTGACAGGTTTCAAAAGCTGCACATGAGAAAGATTGGCATTTCCATATGACTTGATCAATGTAGGACATATGGTCAGCATGGACGAGTTGAACCCAGGGTCTGTTTCTGTGCTGTACGAATCTATAGCTCTATGACTGGGCAAAAGATATTTCCTCAGGTTAGCTTTGCATTTTTTCAGTTGACTTTCAATTTGTCTCCACTGATTACAGACTTTCTACCACTGGAAGCAGTTTCTCCTTCTTTACCAGATTCATTTCCTAGACAACTTTGAATTCCTTATATTAAGCCTCCTGTTAACATTCCCTGTCCCAAATAAAATGATCACAGTTCCTTAGTGTCTCCACATAACTGAAATCTTTGGTGCCATTCTGGTAAACCTTTTATTTACTTTTCACAAGGCTAAGTGTACAATCCTGGAGACAACATTTCAGTTGAGGCTCAATCAATTATTTCTAAAAGTTTAATTCAACTTGCTTTATTAATACATGGCTCCATTTATTTGTTTCAAGGACATGATATATATGGTTCCTCAATCGAATTGGCAAAGACTGTAATTTGATAACAGAATGTTCCAGTTTCAATTCCTCAGTCAGGCCAGTGGAAAATATACTAAACTTGTACTATGGGCTCTTTTGGACAGTGGTTGTGTGAGGGTAATTAGGAAAGTATCTACTACACTTGTCCTCAAGATCCTTGGAAGAGGTGGTGAGAAGCAGCAGGATCCTTCTCTAGGCAGTTATTTACAGGTCTTTGCTGGTGAACAGACATTTGGACAATAGGTAAGAGAAAGAAGGGAAAGCAAAAGTTTATAAACAACTTGGATGTCTCAGCAAGTTTTACAGCCTTTGGAGTAGTGCAGTCACAGATGTAATGTAGGATACACAGTGGCCAAATTTCACACAGCAAACTCCCACAGACAACAATGTGAGGTCAATCAGATAATCTGCTTCAGTAATGTTAGTTGAAGGACAAAAATAGACTACAATACTGGAGAGGGATCTTCTCCATTCGTCTTTAAAATTGTGCCATGTTATATCTTACATAAACCCAAAAAAAGGTTTGATTGAATATGTCATCCAAAGGGCAGCACCACCTTCTTGGAATCTTCTGACTCAGAGGGGACAGTGCTACCTAATGAGTCATGGCTAACAGAGCACTAGAATAGGCTTAGTTGTAATAGTGCTGGCAGGTGACTAGCATGATCAATCAGTCTGTAAATTCCCACATGGAGAATTGCCAGTTTAGTGAAACAGTGATGATGATGTCTTTGGTTGGACTCCAACATGATCCACCATTTTGAGGATGGAGGGAGAATGACCACAAACAAGATTTCAACTCTTCCTATCTGCTTATAGTTTATTTACACAAACATAATTTCAGAAATTCTCTGAATGAGCTGGCGATAGTGCTAGTGACACAGGCTGGGACATGGGTTGCAGTTATTTTTATTGCATACAACAAGCCAAGGCTTTTGTTTTAGAAGCACAGGACATGTTGCACGGTGATGCCACCCCCACCCCCAACCACTCAATTCTCTTTACACTTTGGGGAGATCTAGCTTTGCATAAACATACCAAAATCAATAAGTTTGGTTAGTGACTCGCAGTACCTGGATATTAATATTCAAATGAAAATTCATATTCAAACTTAACTTTGGCACCATGTTTTAGGATTTATTAAGACCTGAAAATATTAAAACCATGACAAAAATGCCACAAAGCAGGTACCATGGGAGGCAATGGTGTAGTGCTAATGTCACTGAACTAGAAACCC